CCCGGTGAATATTTTCACCACTTTCAAGAATTAGGGCCAGTGGGGAAGGATAACCAGAATGAAGTGAAAAAGCATCGGTGAAAAAAAAAGTTGTGAAAGAAAAGTTTAAGTTCACAGCGACTCGAACCATGGACCTTCGGACTGAAAGTCTGACACCGCTAACCACTAGATCGTTTGGATATATGAATTAACTGCATACGCGAGAATGACAACGAGAGCGCTTCAGCCGAATTCGTGTTGAAATCGGATCACACTTCAGGCGCGACCGAAAGAAATGTCCCTCCTGCATAAGAAAGAAGGAAGGAGGCCACTTCGGAGGTCAAAACATGAAAGACATCGAGAATAAAAGTACCACTAACAATAATCAACAATAACAAACGTGCATTACTTGGCATCACTGCTGTCGTTCGGTTTCAATCAATCAAATCAATCAATCAAATCATTTATTTTCCATAACTGACAACATACATTGTATAGGAATAGTCAAAGATACTAAGAAACTTACGAACTAAAAAAAAGAAAAAAAATAGAAAACTTACATACTAATGAGTGTATATGACAAATAGGAATATTACGTACACAAAAACTCGTTCACAGTATAAAAAACTTTGCCAACTAAAAATATTTTGATTTGTTTTTTGAATTCTGTTTCCTTTTCACAGTTTAGTTTAGTTTAGTTTCGGCGTGTTTATTATTATTTCTATGGGCCCCTCCGATAGCAAGTTATGGCGCGTTCACATGCTGGCTTTTGCTTTTCGCTTCTTGGCTTATGGCGTATTGTGATTCGATTGGCCGATTAATGTGAAAGCGCGTATCAAGGTCACATGACAAAAAGTCGATTACGATCCGACTTTTTGTCTAAAAGAAGCTCCGATTTCCAGGGTTTTACCTTTTCATGTTAGTTGTTGTCAACTGTGGCGAGAAATGTCATATTTTAATATGGTAAATAGTGAAATGCTGATACAATTTCCAGTTATAGTTAATAACTTTTCTGTAGAATTCACGATCACCAATAAAGATTACCGAATTCTCTCAACTGGTTAGTATTATTTCCTAGTTTTTGATGTATTGTTTTTTTATGTAATTTTAATTAGTTATTTATTGATGAAAGGTCAATAATTATAAATGATGAAGAGTTACTTAAATATAAGAAAAACGTTATTCGAAACGGATATGTTTCCGAAATTCCATGAACAATGATAATTCCATTTTCTTGTTGGATGTTTTTATTTTCAAATTTGAAGTTTGTCTCCTCTAGAGTCAAGGGACCCTAGTCTCCTCAACTGTCGCTTTTGTAAGAAGTTCATGTGAACAGAGCGCTCGTTTCATTTGAGCTTTCCGCGATAGGCGAAAGCTGTCATGTGAACGCGCCATTAGACTATAGGATCCTATGATAGGATGAGATAAATCAGTAAAGCCGAAAGCCGATTGTCGATTTGCCGAAGCCGAAAGCGACGACTAGCGACACGAAACACGGAACACGGATTCCACTTTGCTTGTGATTTGTGGCCATCATGGATATGTTTTATATGATTGTACGTATTTTCGCAACAAATACGTTTGTGAGGTAGTGCGCAGTGTTGTGAAACGTACTCATTCGAGTACTTATTACTATAGTTTCAATGCTAACGCGCTAACGGTAGCTGTTCATCGGAGGCACTTGGGCGTGAGTCTGTTGCTAAACTTTATGTGACTTTATATTGAAATGAATAAATCAAAAGATTCATTATTACTATAGTGAGTAAATAATCATTAAAGTAAAATCGTGAATTGAAATGGACGCCACTGATTTTTTTAGGCTGCTAAAAATCAGAAACCTCTAATGTAGTGAGAGATATTCAGTTGAAATAAAAAAACTTCATCAAATATACAGGGTGTCCCTAGACCAGTAGGACAGTTGAATATCTTCTGAACCAATAGGAATTTTCAAAATATTATAATTTCACATCATATCGTATTATGAGTGCTAACTTCAGGAATGACTATATTTTATACGAGGTACGCAAGAAAGGCTCACAAAATCGAACATAATTTTTTTCAAATGGAACACCCTGTATTTCATTGCATTTACATATTCTCCTTGAAGAGCTGAATTTACCGACCTAGCACACTTGGGGTCTAGCGGGAATGATTTCCGAGATATAGGGTGTGGAAAATCGAGATTTTTCATTTTTGGGAATTTTTTGTGTCGAAACTAATCATTATTCGTCAAAACGGCTTACATGTTCATCTCTCAACTTTTGATTTACTATTTACTCGTATTTAATTGAAACAAATACAGGGTGGTGTAGAATTCTGACTGAAACTGTTAATTCTACACCACCCTGTATTTGTTTCAATTAAATACGAGTGAATAGTAAATCAAAAGTTGAGATATGGACATGTTAGCCGTTTTGACGAATAATGAATAGTTTCGACACAAAAAATTCCCAAAAATGAAAAATCTCGATTTTCCACACCCTATATCTCGGAAATCATTCCCGCTAGACCCCAAGTGTGCTAGGTCTGTGAATTCAGCTCTCCAAGGAGAATATGAAAATGCAATGAAATACAGGGTGTTCCATTTGAAAAAAATTATGTTCGATTTTGTGAGCCTTCCTTGCGCACCTCGTATAAAATATAGTCATTCCTGAAGTTAGCACTCATGATGCGATATGATGTGAAATTATAATATTTCGAAAATTCCTATTGGTTCAGGAGATATTCAACTGTCCCACTGGTCTAGGGACACCCTGTATACATAATTTAAAATTGTGAAATTTTACCATCTGTACAAAAAAAATTACACTATCGATGGCCCTATCGTACCCTAAATATGGTTTTCTATCACTGGAAATTGATTCTCAGGATATGTAACGTTCAGCTCAGATTGGAAAAATAATGATCGATAATATACAGGGTGATCCACGGTGCCACGATAGCCTATTATTAAGAGTATCTGGAGAACGAAAAGACAGAACATTCTGAAAATTGGGATGCTTTGATAATTGAACATTCTCTATTCGTCAAAAATATTTTCATCGGTACAGTGTTGCCACTTCTTTAGGAAACAACTAGCAACTTGGTTATTTCAAATAAAGCACCCTGTATTTTATTGCCTTTTTTAATTCTTCCTGAGAGCTGATTTCATCAATTTATCACACTTGGGGTCTAGCAGGAATGAATACAGAGATATAGGGTGGTCAAAATCGAGATTTTTCAAATTTGTTTGTGTAGAAACTATTCATTATCGATCTAAACGGCTTACATGTCCCTATATCTTTACTTTCGATTCACTATCTACTGACATTCAATTGCAAAACAGAGATACAGGGTGATCAGAATTCTGAATATTGAAGCACCCTGCGTTTTTTCCAATTATTAAATTCCAGTAGATAGTGAATCAAAAGTTGAAATGGGGACATGTGAGCCGTTTTGATCAATAATGAATAGTTACGACACAAAAAAATCCTAAAATTAAAAAATCTCGATTTTGAACACTCTATATCTGTAATCATTTCTGCTAGACCCCAAGTGTGATACATCGATGATATCAGCTCTTCAGGAAAAATCTAGAAATGCAATGAGATACAGGGATTTCCACTTGATATAACAAAGTTGCTAGTTATTTCTGATAGAAGTAGCAACACTGTAACGATGAAAATATATTCGACGGATAGAGAATGTTCAATTATCGAAGCATCCCAATTTTCAGAGTCTTCTGTCTTTTCGTTCTCCAGATACTTCTAATAGGCCATATCCACCGTGGATCACCCTGTATATACCTATAGCACATGGTGAAAGTTATTTCACGTACTTGTATTCTTGCCAGGAGGTTCATGAACCTTTACAGGGCGTTCAAACTTATTTAACATAGAGTACTTAAAAATATTGTCGATACCAATCACTCAGATATGCGTAGACAATTATTATATATATGATACCTTCATATTTAGGACGACATTGTAAAAAGAATATATGATGTTTAAAAAAAACCTGGTGTTGTTCAATGGTGACTGGGTTTTTTTTGGTAGCCTCGAAGACTCGAAGAAGTAATAGAACTTCAGTCCTAGAGGTGGCCTCACAGACATGTGCGGATGCACAATTATAGATTTGTCTCGAACATAGAACAAATGGGACCATCCGAGACGAAAAAACAGGTAGCAGCGGCATAAGCTGCAGAGTAGCTGCAGCAGCCGTAGGCCAAAAGCTATACGAGGAAGGATCCATACAGAAATCAGCACTCATAACTAGAAGTCCCTAATACTGTCATTGTTAATGTTACTTAACATAACAGCATGAAGGGGGGACCCTCTCATGGATCTGACTCACCCTGTTGGCTATGAAAGTGTTCCAACGATAGGCCGGAGCTTTGATCCAGCACAAAGTGATCATTGAATCACTCCACGCATATAAATGAGAAAAAGTTATTTTGTTAGAGTATTGAAAACTTTCAATCGAAAGTTCTTTAAAGGGTGAAAAATTAGTGTATTCTCAACATATTATTTTCTCTACTCCGTTTCCAAGAGTATCTCGAAAAAATTTTATGTGGATGTACCTAATTCTCAATGACAGAGCTCCAAAAATGAAAAGTGCTAAAAATAGATTTTTTCAATTCTGGAAAATTATCTGGAATAAAATATTCGATTATCAACTTGAAATAACTAGAGTCATTCATTATTTCGATACAGAGGTTTAATGCCTGTTATAGGTTCCGGATAATAACAGCGATTATACTCTTGAATGAATGAATTGAATAGCTTTTAAAAGACAGCTAGGCTGTCCCCTATTCAATTAAATTTTTTTTATGAAGGTTATTCAATTTTCAATAACCGGTGGATGTTTAATTATAAACGAACAGGCCGTGTCATCAGGATAGAGCAGATAATAGAATCAGCGTATCACAAAAAGTTATTTATTCTCTATAGTTTTATATTTACATTTTACATTTCTAATACAACTTGTGTCACGATGTAGATAATATACACAGCTTTCATTGGCGTGACAAAATCGCAACCATCCTAGATGATGTCTTCTTGTTTTATATCTAGGAGATTTTCCTCTTTTATATCCAGGAGTCCTTCCTCTTTTATATCTGGAAGCATTTCTTCTTCTATATCTAGTAGATTTTCCTCTTTTATATCTAGGAGATTTTCCTCTGATATATCTAGGAGTTCGTCCTCTTCTATATCTAGGACTTTATCATCTTTTATATCAGGGAGTTTTTCCTCTTTTAAATCTAGGATTTTTCCCTCATCTTCTAACTCTGAATCATTGTACTCAATGTCGATCTGATATTTTTCTTCAACAATGAAATAATCAGAATCGTCCCTATCGTCTTTTTCACATGAAGACAATTTTGAGCAGTTTTCACACTGTGGAGGATTTTTGCTGTAAAGCTCAGCAACAAACTTTCCAAGACAAACACCACATTGAAACAACTTATCGATGGTTCTTCCTCCATCAACCAGTGGCGGCTCGTCGATTTTCAGTTCCTTGGGTCTATCCCTTATGTGTCTATTGATGTGACTGATCAGGGTGCTCTTATTCCTCAATTTTTTCCCACAAATATCGCATTGGAATGGTTTCTGACGACTGTGCCTCTTGAAGTGTTGGACTAATTCAGATCTATCCTTGAACTTTTTTTCACAAGTGTAGCACTGAAATCGCTTCTCACCAGTGTGTCTGTACATGTGTCTGGTTAAATGATGCTTGTCTCTGAAATCGGATTCACAGATTTCGCAGTGGTATGACTTCTTACCGGTGTGTCCAATGACATGTCTGATCAGATTATTTTTATGACTGAACTTCGACTCGCATATATTGCATTGGAATTGTTTTTCGCCATGTACATACTTATGTTTGACCAGAGTTCTCTTGTCTCTGAATTTCATTCCACAAATTGTGCATCCGAATGGTTTTTCACCCGTGTGCGATCTTATGTGATTGATTAAAGATGTTTTATCTGCGTATTGCGATTCACAGGTATAGCATTTGAATGGCTTCCAACCCGAGTGTGCTTTAATGTGATTGAATAAAGTGATTTTGTCTGCGATTTTTGGATTTTCAATGATGTGCCTTTTACTGTGCCTGGACAAATATTTTTTCGTCTTGAAATTCAATCCACAGGATTCGCATTTGAATGGTCTCTCATCGGAGTGTACAACACCGTGCCTACGCAAACTTTTTTGAGTCTTGAATTCTTTGTTGCATATTTCGCATTCCATTATTCTTCTTGTGTGCATCAGCACCTGTAGCTACTGTTTTATGCAACTGTATATATATGGAAACTGTTTTCTGTAGTGTGCACCTTCTGTCTATAATTATCAATTACAGTTATAACAGTTCGATGTTCTATCATTGGAAGATAGGTTCTTTCATGAAGTTTCCAAAAACTTTATAGGAATTGATGTGTAAGTGATGTCTTGGAGAAATTGAATGTACTCGAACCAGGGTCTTCAGTTCATCTGAAAATATCCAAAATGAGTAATGTTGACAATAATTATCCCAAGGTGATAAGTAAGTATACCAGGGGTGTACCAGATCTTTTCATAGAGCCAATATCTCAGTCATGTTGCTTGGAATTTTTCTTAAAGAAATTACACTTCTTTCAAACCCATATGACTCATTCTAAGCCGTTGTGTCAAAGTCAACTTCTGTCAAACTTCCTTAAAAAAAAGTCCCCTCCTAGTAAGGATAGGGGCAGGAGGTAGGTATTGGAATTTTTTTGAACGTTTGGAGATTATTATGTTGTTGGGAACACTTCCTCAGGCAATGAATTCCAGAACCTAGCCGTTCTATGGATGGAGGAGTTTTGATAAAGTACTGTTCTACATATTTCGAGGTTGACAACGAAAGGATGTGCTGACTGGGCTTGTCTAGTCCGTATGACTGGTATTGCTAGTGAAGGAATGATAGCTGCAGAGATTTCCGAAGAACATTTCCCGCGGAAGTATCGATAGAAAAGTGAAAGGTCGCCGACCTTTCTACGGTGTTCCAATGATGTCAAAGAGTGAGTAAGTGTGGCGTCACCCACCAGGCGAATGGCTCTTCTCTGGATGGAATCTGAGAGCATCAGCGTATGTTTTGGTGCTGAACCCCATATGTGGGAAGAGTATTCTAGAACAGGCCGTATCTGCGCTTTGTAGATCATGAGAAGCTGTTGAGGTGTAAAGTAGCTTTTCGCACGGAACAAGAATCCGAGTTTTTGTGAAGCAAATGCGATGCGATGCGATGGATCTGACATGATTCTCCCATGAAAAAGTGTTGCTGATGGAAATACCGAGCATATATTTGTGGGGAACTTGGTGGGGATGGTGGTGCCAGACATTAAAATATCGGGCATACTGAGTTCCGCCTTTCTAGAGAAAATACAGGCTTGAGTTTTGGTGGCGTTGAATTCAAATAGGTTGTTGGTTCCCCAGGCTGTGATTTCAGCAAGGTCTTCATTGACAGCGTTGACCTGCCTGCGCCTTAGTTCTTAGTTTCCTGGTCCTGGAAAGAAATGGGAATTCTGGAAGAGAACGCAGTATGGAGGGTACTATCATCTGCAAAGCTGTGAATGGTGCAAGTTGTTACTCCCAACAGATCATTGATATGATGAAGGAATGATGTTGGTGCCAAAATTGATCCTTGTGAAACGCCGGAATTGATGCCAATGGTATCAGACGATACACCGTTCACCGCCACGTGAAGCTATCTGCCTGAAAGAAAACTCGATAAGAGATGTCATAGCTGGGATGGTGAGCCGTATGAAGGAGTCCTTCGTGCCAAATACGGTCGAATGCATTCGATATGTCCAACGCGACAGCTAGAGATTCCCCGTGTTTTCCTAATGAAGCTTGCCATAAATGGGTGACGTAGGCAAGTAGATCTCCAGTAGATCTTCGGTGGCGAAAGCCGTATTGTCTATCTCACTTTGGAGATTACTGATAACAGGGCAATTTGCCTGTAGTTGTTGGGCAGGTTCTTGTTCCCTTTGGTATCCCAGCAAACAATTTTGGTCGGTCTTATGCTGGCCCATGATATGCTGGCCAGAATTCGCCAGAACGGCAAAATGTCTGTGAACATTAATGGGCCAGTATCAATAGGACACACTGACCGTCATCAAGGCCAGTACATGTCTGCCGATACATTCAAATAAAAAAAGACGACCGCCACGGGATTCGGACCCCGGTCCTTCGCTATCACTTGGTTACAAATCAAAGTCCTTTGAACTGAGCTACTAAACCATTCTTGAAATGATATAATACACGGTATTTAATTGCGGTTGAATTTCGATAGGAATATTTCAATAATAATAATTATCATCATTATAACAGATATATACAAACGGTGAACAATCAAAAACATCCGATTTAACGATTGAATACCAAATTTTTTGTCATATCTATTTCATTAGTCAGACGACTTGTCTATTTTATTATGGCCGGATTTGATGACTCTTATGAAAATATTCAAATACAAATCGGGAGAGAACTGGATCAGTTGCGGAAATACAAAGGGTAGAACGTAAAGGTTTCAAATAGCAATAATAGCAATGAGAGTCTTTTAATTGAATAATTCACATGATCCGGTAACTAGATGATGTAAGAGGTGCGTACTTCTGAAAATGTTGAGTGGGATGAAGAATCCTGTACTCTCAAAAATGTATGACCCTGTACATTTTGAAAATCTTTAAATTGATCAAAATGACGATCTTCTAGGAAGTAATAACCTCACTAAATTTCAAATTGATATCCTCAATAGTGAGTAAACTATTTCAATTAATAGAAATACATAATTAATCTTTGACCTCTTGTAGCTCCGCTACTGATCGAGATCGGACTCACCCTGTATAATATGGGTAGGCGATAGTATGAGGTGAAAATTCAAAACGAATTAACAGTATTGGCCCAGTGTCGGCTGAATTATAGGCAAACGATCACAATATGCCATACAATGGGCTGACCTCTGACCAGTGCAGCTTCCCAGCAAACATTGAACTAGCGGGAGAAGTCCGGCCTAGTGCAGGCTAGTCTGGGAAAGTGACGATGCCGGGGTATTGGTAATGGGCCAATGATTCTCCTATGCCAAGTAATACCATCAGTTCAAATACGGTCATGGCCTTGTGATGGTAAGATGTCTGGAACAATTGCACATTTACGAGATCTGGCCCTTTGCTGGCCAATTTCATGTTCGCTACTCGTCCCCCTGGTGGAAGTTCTGGGAACGTCAACATCAACAATCAGCTGATCAATATTAAATGTGACTAAAATGGCTGACTCTCGTGAGTTGTGATCGCGTACTAGTTTGTTTATTTCGATGAATTATTGTGCTCCTCTCTTTTCCTGGTGGTTATTTATGATGGCAGGAGTATTCTCAATTGATAATGATAGAAGACAGATTCTCCAATTATGATAATATTGAGTAAGTATCAATCTACCTACATAGTGTTCCGAATTGAATTATTGAATGCATGTGTTTGGTATCTCGTAACCTCATATACCTAATGATCATAATAATTGGAGTAGGCTGTACTTCTCCAAAAGCTACTATCATTTTTAACTCGTTTGTTGCTATCAAAAGCAATCTCAGGTTATGTGAACCTATATATCTCTATATTTAAAAACTCAATAACAATAAGGTGTCAGCTATATTATCAAGTCATAAACTTATGCAACTCATAGGCCACATATATATGAACAAATGATGCATTTTATATTTCAGAAGTACCTCACAACGAAGAATCGACTATTTGAAGGAATGCTACCCAATAAGATGTGGATACCAGATACCAACCAGTTTTTCTTGAAATCTGGTATGATGAGAGGGTTATATTGTGAAATAAAAAGGTACTAGAACTTCCAGATCCGTTGGACCCCTAAAACCTCTACCCCTCCCCTACCTCGATAGTATGTAACCAACGTCGTTAATTGGCCATTACAGTCCCATCATTTATGTATATGCTGGGCTTGCTATGGGAAACTCAATGTGTCGATTATGTTGTACTGGCCTTTTGCCGGGGAACTGAATATGTTTGCTGGGAACCCAGCACTGGGACCAGCTGCCGGCCGCAGTGTACTGATATATAGAGTCCCGCATATGGGACCATTTACTGGGCCGCTGATGTCAGGTATGGGAAAAATATATTAGGCCATTGATGCCCCATATCAAAATGTTTGCTGGGTTGGCTATGACCAGCAATCTGCCAATCTATCATATAGGTACTGGGCCTGAATGCGGCCGATATTTGATCTGGGACTCTCTTTTGCATATTTAAAGAACGCCTCAGTGTGTTCAACTCCTACGTTGAAAAACGTTTTGAATAATCATCGATCTGACAGGCATGTATCTTCAAATACAGGGTGTCCCTGAATAAGCCTGCCAAACTTCACCAGCGGTTTTAACGACCAAAAATAGAAAGAAAACCCTCAATGAACATGAGTCGAGAAATGTCTCCTAAGGGAGGTACGGTCCCCTGAACTACGGAACTCCGAAACTCCAAATTTCAATCAGGAGTATATGATACAGGGTGGGACTACATTAAATATTGCTCCAAATTTTTTGTATGCATATTTTCCGACAGTTTAATCTCGGATTATGAAATTCCACACCTCACCACAGAAAAACGGTACTCTTGTTCCGGGACGATTAGGTGTATAATGATCGAGTAAAAGCAATTTAAAAATATTGTTTCATCCCAGATATTATGCATAACATTGCAATGAGGAGTAGTGGAAATGGAAAAAAATGCACAAAAATTGAAGTAGTTTCTACATCATCATTTCCCTATTTTTTGCGCTCTCTCGCGGTTGTTTGATTTTTTTATAGCCACTATGATTTGCAACGTTATGCATATTAGATATGAGCTCGCATGTGAGTGCATCAATATTTTTTAATCAATTCCACTCGAAAATGATACATCTTATCGATGCGAAACAAGAGCATATTTTCTTGTGAAACGAAGTGGATTTTCATAATCCAAGATTGAATTGTCGAAAAATATGCATAAGAAGAAGTTTGAGCAATATTTAATGTAATCCCACCCTGTATTATACACTCCTGAATGAAACTTTGGAATGATTTCATGTTCACCGCATTGGGCATTGCAAGTTCAGTTCGTGTACAAAATTGCAATATTCCATCACGTGGCGTTTCGTGAATATTCAAGAAATATCATCTTCAGGGCCCCCCTCTCAAGGGGCCGTAACACCCTTAGGAGACATTTCTCGACTCATGTTCATTG